CCTCCCTGGCCTTTCTTTGACTTCACCAGCTGTATTGCCAGGCCCAGGTTTTAGCAGAGTCCCAAGTGAACCAGATCTGGAAGAAGGGGCACAGGTGTTCTGTGGGCATGGAGGCAACATACAACATTTGCTAGTGTAGTTACGGGCCGCTGAGTAGACAGGAATATTTTAGGTAGTCAGACAGGGCTGGGCCCTCCAAGGAGCCAGTGCAGAAGACCAGGTACCTTGCAACTTTGGAGGAGACAAACACCTCCCGCTATGGGCCAGATCTCAAGACAAAAGATCAAAGAAATACACCCACATCCTAAGGATTGATGTTCTAAATAGTTCTCTATCACCCCGAGGAGGCCAGGAGTCACCATCCTGTGCCCCTATTCATGAAGAGTCACTGCTCCTTAAGAACGCCCACTTGCTACATGACTCTCTTCTCTATTTGTTCCTGATTTAGTCAGCTTTACCTGAGCAATTAATCTTACTGGTTGCCCACAGTTCTGTCCCACCTTATGCCCACCTTGTGAGTGTTCCACCCCCTGACTCCCCCAACACACACACACACGCACACGTACACGCACACATACACGCACACATACACATGCACACACACACACCTGCCTTGGACCAATATCACCTCGTGGTTTTGCTCTGTAAAAGTCTCTAGAAAAGACAGTCTTGGGCAACCCACTCAGGACCCCTTCTGTTTCTCTCTGACAGAAGCTTTTTTTCTCTCAGTAAATATATTCTGCTCTTAACCGCCATTGTTCCTAAATTCATTCTTTGCTTTTAGAGAACATGAACTCATACCAGACATCTGGTAATTTGGGAGTCTCATTCCCTTGTATCAGGGTGTGATAACAGGCGGATGCCTGTGCTGCATTGGTTAAACCTGGAATCAGTGGCTTTGGGTGAGAACCTGATCTCTGTGACTCTAGTTTTTCCATCTGTAAAATGAGTTAGCAATGCCTGTTTCTTGGGGTTTCTGGTAGAATAAATAAGAGATATTAAGATATCAAACTACTTTTGTGCTCCAAGTTTCCTGCCTTATTTACCCGTATCATGGACCTGGATGATGTCAGCTGATCCGTTAGGTGGAGAGAATGGCTGGGACCACCAGGACCTTCCTCAGTGAACAAATGACCCTAGCAAGGAGCTGGACAAGAGCTAATTAGTACATGAAGGGGGAGCTCAAACCGCTCCTAATGGAGGCTGTCTCAAGGACACTGCAGGTGAGGATGTTAAAGCCTCAGAGGTGGGCATTGGACTGTGTCCCCTGGCACACTGAAGTCCTAGCCCCCAGTGCCTGTGAGTGTGACCTCTGTGGAAACAGTATCTGCAGATGATCAAATAAGCTGAGTGCTCACTAGGATGACTGTGGATTTACTAAAAAAGAAAGTTTGGACACAGAAAGGCACACAGAGAAGGCCACATGAAGAGATGTACCAGAGATTGGGTGATATATGTCTCCTACTCAAGACACACCAAAGATTGCCAGCAAACCTCCAGAAGCCAGGAGAGGAGACAAACACTTTCTCTCACACAGCCTTCACCAGGAATCAAGTCAGCTAACATCTCAGTCTTGGAGTGCCAGCTTCCACAGCTAAGGTCATTTCTATTGTAGATAACACAAGGTTTATACTTACTGCATTTACAAATATAAGATCTAATTACACTGCTTTGAATTTTCTCTGCTCATTTAACCTGGTGTCTTGAAATTGTCTCCATACCTATCCATTAACATTGATGTTTTGCAGTGGTTGCATAGGTACCAGAATAAATATGCAGCCACTAGTCTGTCTTTGGACATGAAGGTGGTTCCCTATATATTTCTAATGAAGCCACAGCTGCAGTGAGTTCTTGATAGTAAATCCCTGAGACATGAGCTAATTGTTTCTGCAGAAGACTTATCTAGAAGTGAAAATGTGAGATCATTTGTCTAGGGGAGGCTTCTCTGTACATTATAATGAGTCACCTTAATTTTGTCCAAAAGTTTCTCTTCAGAACCAGTTTTGAGAGTCTACAACAGCCATAAAATGTTACTTACATTTCATCTAGAACTGTCAGCAATCTCGTGAAAACAAAGTACAATCTCCATTTTACAAACAATACCAACCTAGCAATAGAGAATTATCTCAACTTGATATAAAGCATTTACCAAAAAATGCAAATCTAACTCATGTTTAATGGTTAAGTCATTTTAGCCCTCAAAGTTTGAGAACGGGACACGAATCTGTTCAAACTAGTACTGGAAATTCTAACCAATGCAGTAAGACAAGAAAAAGAAGTATAAAATGTACATTTTGGGAGGAAGACATGGAATTATTCCTAGTTGCGGATGACACAATTATCTATGTAGACAATCCCAAAGATTTTTTTTTAAAATTGATACCAGGGATCAAACTCACGACTGCCTGCTTGCAAGGCAGGAGTTATGCCGCTGAGCTAAATCCCCAGCCCCAATCCCAAACAATTTTAAAAACATAAAAACAAAAATCCTGGGGCTGGGGATTTAGCTCAGCAGCATAAGCACCTGCCTTGCAAGCAGGCAGTCGTGAGTTCGATCCCCGGTACCGATAAAAAAGAAAAAGACAAAAAAAAAAAATCCTCTTAGAACTAAGAAGTGAGTTAAATAATGTTGCAGAATACATATCAGCATCAAAAAATTAAATTCATTTCTTGTTAGAGTTTTCTGGCACAATAGAGAAGCAGAAAGTACAAAAAAAGATTTATTGAGGACTTGGAAAGGAGTACACACTCATGGTGGCTGGGCTGTCTCCTTTGACCAGATACAGAGAGGCAAGGGGTTATATGACCTCTGATCAGAAGTGGCACATGGGGCAGATTTTGATGATGTGTGAGGAACTGATTGGAATTTCCTTTGTGTGCAAACAGGAAGGGGAGTTGCAATTAGGGCTGGAGAAGGAGGAGGAAGTGGTAAGTGTTCCTGCTTTGGCCTTCCACCACCTTAGACCACCATCATAAGAGTAATTTACACTAGGGCAAGAACCTTCATTTTTAACATTTGAACATGTAGAAATTTAAAGTAAAAACACAGAATAAGCTACAAGCATTTCAAAGTATACATAACACTTACATATCACAAAAGGACCACAGGATCTCTATGCCAGAAATATAAACATTAATAAAAAGTTTTTTCAATGACTTCCCTTCCATGCCTATGACTAAAACCATGGGCCTAGTATTCTTCTTAAAAAACTAATATTTTACCAAAAAATTCTATACAGAACTAGTATACAATGTTCTAACTATTTAGATCATCTTTTCACCCAGGAAACTAGAAAAGCACAGGACAACCTTAAATGCCCAATAGTTGGTATATTCATACCATGAATGAAGTTTGTTACTGACACAAAACTTTTGTTACTATTATCCTTTTCGTTTTTGTGTTATGACTATGTACTTTTTGCTCAAGGGACATGAGGCAAGCAAAGAAAATAATAGCCAGAGGATTCTAGTAATATAAAAATCAGACTCAAAGAGAGCTTCCTTGTGTATATGGCTAAGTTCAAAGTATAATTAGAAGAAAGGTATTTTGTTTGTTTAGGTTGTTTTTTGTCTTTTGAGACAGAGTTTCATTATACAGCCCAGGCTGAGCTCAAACTTGCAGCAATCCTCCTTCCTAGGCCTCCAGAGTGCTGTGATTACAGGCATGCACCACCATGCCCAGCCTGGAGAAAGCAGTTTGACCGGGATGCTAAGCAACCTGCGTCCCTCAACTTTTCCAGTTTGCTGCTCTGAGATGGCTCTTGTCTCGGTCACCAGTGAAATCCACATTGCCAGGTCTCATAGACAGTCATGGCCTCCTGTTCGTAGCATCTGACCTCTCCTCCCCATACACTCTTTACATGGATACTCAAGTCCATATTCTGTAGCTTTATACCTCCCCAAATCCCACTGGCTTTTTTCTTCACAAAGTGTACAGAAGGCACCATGCCGAAACCACCCCTAGACTCCTGAAATAGCCTGCTAACTGGTCTCATGTCCCTGCTTTTGCCATCATCACCTACATGCATTCTCAAAGCAGCCACCAGTAGGATCCTTTACAATGTGGCAAGTGTGTCAAATCCTCCAGTGGTCCCCATCTTCGTGAATCCCTGAACCCCTACCCCTCCCTCGCACAGTGCTTTCCTGCTGTCCTTTGATCCTGAGCACCAGCCCCTCCAACAGGGATCCCCTTTTCTCATTCCTACTACAGTCCCCAGGTCTATAGTGCTAACTTCATTGCCATAAAACATAAATTCATGTCCCCACCAAAGCCTATTATAAGCATTTGATTTTGAATTCCAGTCCATCCCTGCCCCATCATCCCTACCCTGACCTACTTGTTGTCTTTCTTTTGGAAAACTTTACCACCTAAATATATATACCTGATCTCCCATATCTTCAGATTCCACATTTTGTTTCAATGAACTGTGTACTGAAGCAATGCTTTCTTTAAAATTGTGTTTGTACTGAACATGTATAGAATTTTTTCCCCAAAAAATTTATTATTTCCCCCAAAAATACAGAACAGGGGCTGGAAGTGTAATTAGGTGGTAAAACATGTGCATAGCCTGCTTGAGGCCCTGAGTTCAACCTCAGCACCAAAAATTAAAAATTCATTATTAATAACTACTTCATATCATTTCTATTTTATTAGGTATGGTAAGTGTCTTGGTTACTTTTCTCTTGTTTCTGTGACAAAATGCTCCCTGGTGACTCTCTCAGTTAAGCTTCTAAACTTCTCAAATTGACACAGTGTATCAACCATAACAATCCACCCCTTGTCAACTTGGCAACCAGAAACATTCCTCTAAACAGGTTTCCGAATACAAAGACATGCTTCTTACTACTTTACAACTCAAACATTATAACCCAGGTTTAGCAATCCTTAATGACTGATATTAAGCCTATCAACATTATATTACATTAGAACCATAACATTCTTCCTATGGCCCTCCCAAAGATTCATGCACAATGTTTTATGCAAAAAGCATTTAGTTTACCTGTAAGAGTTGCCAAAGTCCTAACAATTTTAGCATTGCTGTAAAGTCCAAGTCCCAAGTCTCCGCAGAAGTATAAGGCAAACTCATCTGCAAGCCCCTGTACAAGTGAAAACAAAGTTAAACACTTCCAACATGCAATGGCATAAGATAAACATTTTCATTACAACAGGCACAAACTGAGATACAAAGGACTGTCCAAAATCCAACAGGGCAAATAGCTTCCCTCGTGGGCTGGCATTGCTCCCTCCTCGCAGCTTTCCTTAGATGATCTACACTTGTGGCTTTTCTAAACTAGTGGGGTCTCCACTGCACCTTTGGCTTCACACTCACAGCTGCACACACTGCCCTCTCAGGGGTACCCTGCCTGGCCTCCCAAGTCTTCTGAAATTGGGGTGGAAGCCTTTTTAACCTCAGAACTGTTGCATTCTGTATGCATCTAAAACCAGCACCATGTGGATGATGGCAAGGTCTGTTGCCAGCTGAAGCAATAGCCAGGCTTTCTTCTCTCTTGGCTATATGGGTCAAGTGCCTGGATCACTGGGTACTCTGAATCCAACTCTGAGGAAAAAAGTTTTATGATGCTGCCACTCTGGAACATGGTGTTCTCTGGCTTTTGCCCCAGAGCAAAGTCTTTCACTTTTTCAATTTTGAGGCTGCAAAGGTTCGAGACTTGCTGCTTTTTGTGATGCCTTCAGGCCATCTTCTCTATTTTCCTGTTTCTTCTCAGCAATCAAGATCTCCTCAGGTCTGTCTATACAGTCCACAGCTTTATTGGTGCCTCCTTCCTGGTCAAACTGGCAATGCTTTACATCATCCTGCTCTTTATATCATCACCCTTTGCTCTTGGTTCTCAACATACAGCTGGCTAAAAGCCCCCAACAATAGCAATTCCACAGCCTCGACATTTGACTGCCTTGAAACTTTTTCTGCAGATTAATCAATCCTTATCCCAGTCTCAGGCAAAGTCTCTGGACACGAGAAAAATGCAGACAAACTTTCTACCAAGCCGTAACACACATCATGGGGAGTCCAGCACCCAGTGCAGTCCTTTTCAGCAGAAACTTCCCTAGCCTGGTCTTTACCGGCAGGATTTCTGTCAGCCTTCTGGTCTCCTGAGCTCTGAACAGAATCTCCCCTGCAGAACAGCCTAAGCTGTTTCAGCTCTATGCATTCAGGTGACATCTCTGACCCTTTCCAAACTCTTACCACAAACCATTCCCAAAGGCTCTTGAACCACATGTTCTGGTACAGTCACAGCAATGAACCCCACTCCTCTGGTACTAAATCCTGTCTTGGTTACTTTTCTCTTATTGCTGGGACAAAACACCCAACCCCCAAAATGAAGGAAAGAAAGGCTTATTTATCTCACTGTTTGTGGAGGTTTCAATCCACAATCAGCTGGCTCCAAGGCAGGTTGGCAGGGCACAGGGGCAACATTTCAAGGCAGCAGCCAAAGCAAAAGGGGAGAAGAGCAAACATCTTCTCCTCCCTCGTATAGTACACAGGCCACCCCCACTCCAGGGAAGGTGTAGCACTCACAAAAATCTCCTTACCCTCCTCTTGCATCAGATGAGGATATTTACAAAGTAAGGACCCTGCCTGAGGCTCTCAGTTAAACTTCTAAGCTTCTCAGATTGACACAATGTATTAACCATAACAATAAGTATTAAGAGATGATTTAAAGTACACTGGAAGATGTGCCTGAGTTACATGCAAACATTACACCATTTCACATTGGGGACCTGAGCACCTGTGGATTTTGGTCATCACTTCAAATGACACTGAGGGATGACTGCATATTACCACAACATAATTTGAAAATTTTACCTAGATATTAGGTGCCCTGTTTATTTGCCATCTCCTAGATAGGACACAAGCAAGGCACTCATGTCCTTCAGTTACTGGTATCTAGAACACTACCCCAGCATCTAGAACAATGTCTAGTACACAATAGGTGCTCCATAGCCATTGGTTGAATTAACTACCTAAACTTTACCTAACTTCTACAATTAATTTCCAGTGTATTTACTGTAAATCGTTCATTACCTCATTTGATCTTCATAGAAAATGATGTGAAGCCTGTCAAAAGATGTTATTATATCCATTTTACATATGAAGAAATGATGCCTCAAGGAGGTTGAGGGTTTTCATTTATTTAAAGTGTTGTCATTCATTTACAGAGCAAAAACATACTGAATGTCCTTATAACAGAGCTATGTTTAGAGTGGAGTTTTCTGTATGTTCACTCCTGAGTGTTTCTGCTTCTAAGCAAAAAACGGAAGGAGAAACATCAAAATCCTCCTTTTGATTCTCTCTGGAAACCATCAAAGTCTCATGTCCCTTCCGCCCCAGTAGCAAAGTGATACACGGTGCTCACAAGGTAAGGGCAGGCCTTGGAGGCTGGTGTGTTTCAAACCCTGCTCCCCTCCGCCGCGGCTCTGGGACTCAGGACAGGTCCCTCCGCAATGACTCTCCTCAGGCTGCACCCTCACAAGACAGGCATGGCATTGACATCTACATCATGGCCTTGTCTCCTGTCCCATGAAACAGTGCATGCAAACATGCGGTTATCAGTTGATGTGTTTGCTGTCTCCCCCTGCCAGTCAAGAGGACTCTACTCAATTTGCCGCCTATAATTTGCATGACAAAACCAGCAGGTTCATTCTTCCTATTTCCAGATATAAAGACACACTGGATAGGCTTTGCTGGCTTCGGAGTGTGGGTGCCTCTCAGCGTGCAGGTCGGGAAGCGTGACCCCAAGTCAAGAGTGGGCTGTGCTCTGTGCCCTCCCACTCCGCATTTGGACCCATCTGAGGAAGAGCCACTGATTTCCAGCTGCAAGATTGAAATGGAAACCGGCAAAAGTGCAAGCAAAGGGCTCAATTTCCCAATAGCAGCAGCTGTCTAGCACCCGGAGCTATTTTTAAATCCTTTTTCAGAAACTCGGTGTTTGCAATAGATCTATTTTCCTAACTGCCAAGAGATAATGCTTAAAAGGGATAGCTTGAAAATATTCCACAGTGCTCAGAAAATGACTGAAATAGATGGTGTGTATAAGACGGCCTTTGTCTGCAGCGGCGGAGGAAGGCGCGATGCAGTCTTTCAGACCCCAGGGCAGCGGTGCGGCTGGATCTGCTGCTGACAACCACGGCTTTGTGTCTTGAATGTCTGCTATGACCAGAAAAGGGAAGAAAACCAAACAGTAATTGTAGAGAACTTCAGAGACCTGGCATTTAAACTGGTCACCAATCCTGGAAATAGGAGACCCCAAAATAGCTCCCAAAGAATGCTCTGGACTTGAGCAGGGCCTTATCTGGTAAACCCGTCCCAGCGGTCTGCAGCAAGTTCGCTTTCTGTCCCTTGCCTGAACTCCTGAATTTTCTGTTTCACTTAGTAAAACCACCCACCCCAGAGTCATGTGTCACAAATGTAGGCATCAGCTTCACTCTGCTTTTCTTCACCTCCCACACCCACCGAAGTTTTACTAATGTCGTGTCTCCTACAAGATGTCAAGTCGTGTTTTCTTTTTTCACTTTTTTTAAAAAATCTTTTTATCAGTACCAGGGATCGAACTCACGACCGCCTGCTTGCAAGGCAGGTGCTTATGCCACTGAGCTAAATCCCCAGCCCCAAGTCGTGTTTTATCTCCCACAGCCAGTGCCCTGATCCAGTCTTCCATCACTGCTCATCTGAATCTTTGCAAGGACATCCCGTTTACTCTTCCTGAATCTATTGACCCCTCTCAACAATGGACACAATGGACAGGGCTTCATTATGAAGTTCAGGCTGACCTTGCACTCACTTTGTAGCCCAGGCTGACCTTGAATTTGTAGCGATCCTCCTACCTCAGCCTCCCAAGTGCTGGAATTACAGGCATGCGCCACCACCTCTGACTTCAACACAAGGATTTTTTTAAAAGAATTTAAATGTCTTTATATTTCCTCCCACTTAGAATCTTTTGTTGTTTCAAGCCCCATAGTGTGGCAGGTGGGCCCCTCTTTACCTGGCCCTTGCACGGCCCTCCACCTCAGCTCTTCTGTACCCAGCTCACATTTTATGCTCTAACAGCATTAAGCTACTTATAATTTGCCACCCTGTATGTTATTTCTATGACTTTTATGTTATGTAGCTTCTCTGCTTGCAGTGCCATTTGCCTCCACATTTAAAAGGAAACATTTCAATGCACATGGAATGAATATAGCAAAGTATGTATATCTTCCATGTACTGCTTGGTGCATTTCTGCAGAACTGAGAGACTCGGGTAACCATCACAAAAATCAGCGTTTAGAATATCACCAGAATTCTCCAGAATCTATATCCTACCGTTTCTCAGACACACTCCTAAAATGCAGTCTTCTGATTTTGGTTCACATTGGTTAAATTTGTCCAGTTTTGAATGTTAATTAAATAAAGCCATATATTTACATTTTTATCTGGCTTCTTTATTTCATGTTGTTTTGTAAGATTTATCCAATTGTTTCACATGATGTGAACTTGTTCATTTTTTATGAAGTGTAATAGTCCATTATATAAATATGCTACAGTTTATTTATCCAATCTAGTGTTCAGAGAAATATGGACAGTACTATTAATATATTTTTCAATTACTGTAATGAACAACTTGAGGCTGTGTACTTTATAAATAAAAATATTCATTTTGGCTCATGGTTTTGGAGATTCAAGGTTAGGGAGCCATATTTGGTAATGGCCTTATTACTGGCACAGTCTAGAGGCCTCATGGCCAGACACAGGGAGCACGTGTTTGGCAATATTCACCTTTTAATTGTAGCATTTAGACCACTTACATTTAATGTAATTATCGGCATAGTTGGATTTAAGTCAACCATCTTTCTATTCCTGTTTTATTTATTTCATCGTTCTTCGTTCTTTTTCCTCTTTTCTTGCCTTCTCTGTGTTATTGAGTACATTTAGTTCTAGGATTAATAGTATGCCCCTTTGAGAGAACACATCCTATCTTTTTTGTTTTTGTTTTTGTTTTCTTTTTTATTGGTACCAGGGATTGAACTCACGACCACACACTTGCAAGGCAGGAGCTTTTGCCGCTGAGCTAATCCCCAGCCCCAACACATCCTATCTTTAAGTAGTACTGTAAAACTTAATGCACAGTGTAAGGAACTTCTAAATGGTATTTTAATTCCTTATCTTCTTTCTGTCTTTTGTGCTTTATCATATCTGATACTTCCACACACAATATGAGGTCTACAATGCATTTTTGCCTTAAATAATCTACCTTTTTTGAAAAAAATAAGAAAAAGAATCATCTACATTTTGACATATTTGCCATTTCTAAAGTTCCTTACTGCTTTTTGTATCATTTCTTTTTAGCCTGAAAAACTCTTTATTCATTTTACGCCAAATTTTCTAGTGATTAATTTGCAGTGACTGTTGTTCAGAAGTCATTTATTTCATTTCATGTTTGACAGATATTTTAGATAAACATAGGATTTCTAGAGTGACTTTATTCTGTTTAAAATATAGTTCATTATAAATATATCACTTTAAATACATAGTTGTATTATTCTTGGGCTTGCATTCTTTCTGAAAGGGTTTTGTTCCATAGTTTCTTTAAATTTAGGGTTTTGTAATTATTAATGGTCACTATGGAAAGGAATCTGGTAATATCTAACAAAGCTACAAATAAGTTCATGCTTTGATTCAGTAGACTAACTTCTAGGGATTTACCGTGACGATTCATGTTCATACTCTATACGTTAATCTATTTCTTTTCTGTACTTCACGTAGTGTTTTATCTGTTCCTAAATCTGGACATTCCTTACTGTCCTGCTTCAAGCTTCCTAATCTTCTCTGTTAACATATCACTTTTGTTGTTAAACTCACACATTAAGTTATTAATTTCCATTATTGCATTTTGAGCTCTAGATTCTCTGCTTGACTGTTCCCCTTTGAAGCATTTCTCTGTTAAAATTCTTCACCTTGCTATCCTTCTCTTGAAAAAAATTACTCACAGTTAATTGGATGACTGTGTTAACCTTCAAGTCTGAATGTGTACATGTTTCTATTATGTACCTTTTCTGCGGGGCTTTGATTTTTGGGTTCTGTTATTGGAAGGTCTGCTAATCTTTTACTAAAGACAAGGTGTTTGCTTACAAAATTGTGCCAAACCTCATGATGTTATTTCTCCCAAGGAGATTCATTTTTCTTTTTTTTTTTTTTTTTTTTTTTTTGGTCTTTTTTGTTTTTATCGGTACCAGGGATCAAACTCACGGCTGCCTGCTTGCAAGGCAGGCGCTTATGCCGCTGAGCTAAACCCCCAGCCCCTCATTTTTCTTTTTTAAAGCCACTAATGTAGGAATAATTCAGCTTCATCTGATCAGAGACTGAAAAACTTGAGAGTGAGTTTTTCTTGTAAGGCCACCTCTATTTCTGGTTGCCCTTTACTAGAATATGAACTTTCCATGATCTCACTGAACATGAGGTCTGTCCAGCAGGGTTTTTTCTTCTTGGCAGACCCTGAATTCCTCCAGGAGTTTGGTATTGCCAAATTTTTGCTTATATTCTTAGACTTTTAACTGTCACCTTTTGTGGACTTTCAGCCTGTTTCCTAAAAAAACTGTAAATGTCTTAGGGCTGGGGGTTTAGCTCAGCGGCATAAGCGCCTGCCTTGAAAGCAGGCAGTCGTGAGTTCGATCCCTGGTACCGATAAAAAGGAAAAAGACAAAAAAAGAAAAACTGTAAACGTCTTTAGGGAGAAAGTAATACAAAATATTGAATTCTCATTTCCACATTTCCCCCTGGTATAGTGTGTTGGCCTCTTAAATCCTTTTACCTCGATTACTCTCCAATCTCTTAAAAAGAGCTTTTGTTTTTTTAGTTTAGTTGGTTGTTCAGTTTTCAATCTAGCCTCTATGAAGCTATTCTTGGTGGGTAATTGGCATTTTAAAAGTAATCATCTAATAGAGAGAAGCTGATGTGTTCCTACCCCCCTCCTTTTTTGTATGTATACTGGGGCTCAAACTCATGACCTTGAGCTTGCCAGGCATGTGCTTTTGCCACTGAGCTGTATCTCCAGCTCTTCTCTCCTTTTTGACTGGTAGGCTGCTACTCACAATTTTAGGCTTAACATACCAGAAAATCTGCCTTTAATATCTCTCAGGTCCATCCTGCTCCCTAGACCCCCCACATCACTTCTACAGTCCTATAATACCCTTACGAAGCTCCCACATAACACATAAATTGGTGTTTATAATCATCTTAACTCTTTCTTTTCCCATTAAACCACGAGAAATTTTTTTTAAAAACCATGAGAAAATTAAGCCAAGGATTATGAATTATGACTTATTTGTTGCAACATCCTCCATGCTAGAACAATACTTAGGCTCAAAAAACATGCATTAGTACAAACCAAATTCACTCTCAATAAATGCTCAGATAAATACAAAATATCAGCCAAATTACAAAAAAAAAAAAAAATGGGTTCTTTCCTGACCCTAGAAGTTACCAACCTGAGTTTCAGACCCACCTTCTTTTACCTATTCTCCCACTGACCCTAAGACCGCGGCCACTCAGACGCTAATGGTGTGCCCTGTTATCCTGTGCCACCACCTTAAATGGGTGACAGTGACTTTCCCAGACAAGTCACTTCTTTCATCTTCTGGGGTTTTATGTGAAAAGCAAGGATGTTAACGTGTGTCTTTCTAGGCTGAGTCAGTTATAAATTTAAATTAAATACCTGGACTTTGAAATTGGACTATCTAGCTGCAGACCCTGGCTAACCACCTCCCCAGTCGTGTGACTTTAGTCCAGTTACTTTACTTTCTTGTGTCAGCCAAGAATAACACCCAAAAAGTGTAGAGCAGTTCCTAATAGCAAAGTAAATATTAGCCATCAATATTCTATGAGGACCAAATGAAATACAACAAAAGCAACCCATGGAGTCCCATGTGGGCACCATGATGGTTTAACATGGTCATGATTAAGTCATTTCCCCTAAAGAAGAGCAGCTGCACCCTGAGGCTTCTGTGGATGTCACCCAGTGACCCAAACTTTTTACTGTTGGCTTCTTTAACTCGCTTTTTTATAAAAGGTACTTTCACCTGGATCATTTGCTCTGAATGAGTCACATATGAGAACTGAGGTTTCCCTGCAGGTCCTAAAACCTGCAACCAGAAATCCAGAATATCTCATCC